AACATAACGAAAACATTCTTTAAAACATAAATTATCAATTTCGAAAATTTGTTTTTTCTTTTATGTGTGTGTTGTTTTTATAAAATGAAAAATTATTTTTTTTTTTTGTCATGAGAAAAAAAAAAAAACGATAAAAAAATCCTATTGATTACAAGTACGCAATTGTTCTAGAAAAATAAAAGGAAATAAAAGGAAAGAAAAACTTTTTTCCTTTTATTTTCTTTCCTTTCTTTCCTTTTAATAAACTTTTCGAATCGTCGATGAAAGAAAAAAAAAAAAAAGTTTTATTTTCTTTAACTTTTTAAACATCGTCAAAAAAAAAGGGAAAATTGTTTTTTTTTTTTTTTTTGATAAATTTAACGTTTTCGATGATGACGACAACAACAACAACAACAACGACAACGACAAACGGTCACGACGATAATAAACCCGCGAAAAAAAAAAAAAAAAAATTTTTAATATCGAACATAAATTTAATGTCAACGTTAATATTATAAAAAATCCGTTGTAAAAACAAAATGGATGCGAAATCAAACTTCCTTCGTCATAGAGTAAAAAAACCTTTAACGGAAACGTAAAAAAAAAAAAAAAAAAAAAATTCCCCGCATTCGAAAAATGTTAATTTTTGCCTTTTTTCGTCGTTTTACGCCATCAAACATTTCGCGGTTAAATTTTTTTTTTTGTTAACGGAAACGGAAATGATTTTTTATTCCTACCCCTTCCCCTTTTGGATATTTCCGCGTTCGTCGCGTATTATTATTATTATTATTAATTATTTAAAAATTAATCATTAAGGGTTGGGTTATTTTTAAGGTTTAAGGTTTTGTTTTGCGAAAAAAAGTTTCTAGAAAATTCTTTTTTTTTTTTTAACCCCGACACCGTGAAAAGGATTCGAATATATATATATATATATATATATATATATATATATATATATATATATATATATGGAGGGATAATCCTTTCGCGGATATTTCTAATCATTTTTTACTAACGACAGCATAATCCTACCTTTAAATTCCTGACGGGATTTTTTATTTATTAACGACAACGAGAGACATTTTTTTTGTTAAAAAAAGCGAAAAAAAACTTACATGGATTGTAAAGAAGCAGAACTGCATTCCCTCTGATGCTGTTGTATTATATCTCTCTCTCTCTGCTGCAGGTATTCCGTTTGCTCTCTCACTTCTCTTTCAAATTCCCTTTGCTCTTTTTCCGCTCTGTGTTGTATCCTTTGCTGGTGTGCGGCTTGAAAAGCAAATTCTGCTCTCGCAACCGCTTCCGCTTGTTCTTTTTTCTCCTTTTTTTCTTCTTCGGTTTGACTCCTTCCGCTTCCGCTTCCAGGCGGAGCGTACGAAGTCGAAAACCAAAACTGATGAGCCAGCTTGTTGGTTAAATCAATTTTATTCCTTTCGGATAAAATTTTTACTTTTTTTTTTACTTTTTCCCTCCCCGTTTCCTTATTCTTATACTTTTATATATAATAAATTCTATTATTACTATTATTATTATTATTAATAACTATTTCTACTACTATTATTATTATTATTATTTACGATCGCGAGTCCTGCAAAAAGAAAAAAAAAAAACAAAAATAAAAAAAAAATAAAAAAAATTGCACACACACACATTATTAAATGATAATATTATTTTAACGTGGGATTAAAATTAAACAAAAAGTACGTGGCAGTAGAATCGAAGGTTGGGGGTGGGAGTGGAGGGTGAGAGTGAAGGGGAGGGAGAAGGAGTGGAGGGGAGGGAGAAGGAGAAGGGGGAACGTGTTAAACATCGAATCCGAGACGAAAGCGATTTTAAAAAAAATCGTTTTTTTTTTTTTTATTTTTAAACAACAACAACAACCAGAACAACCAAAACAACCAAATTCAACACTTTAGAAAAGCCGAAACAAAATAAATAAATAAACGAAACAAAGTTTACTGTTGTATATCCAATTAAATTAAGTTCGTTTAAAATTTTTTTTTTTTTGTTTTTTTTTTTTAAGTTTTCAACTAATTAAACTGTTTGAATAATCGAACTCTCTTTCTGTTCTGTTGTCTGTGTGTTTGTGTTGTGTTTTTATGTTTTTATGTTTTTCTATGTCCTTTTTGTAAATTTGTTCATAACCTTCTGCCCTACCCCCCCTCCCCTCTCCTTCCCCCGCAAAAAAAGAGAATCTTCTTCTCACGAATTAAAATTTTAACTTTGTGTGTGTGTTTGTGTTTGTTTGTGTTTGTGTTTGCCGAATGTGCATATTCTGATGTTGAATACGAAAGGAAAAATGGGAGAGAGAAAAAACCCTCGTATAAATTTTAATAATAATAATAATAATAAATAACAAGGGGAACCACCGACAGGTAAATTAGACAGAGAAACCGACTTTTTTATTATTATTATTATCATACACGGTCACCGAGTAATTTATTCGTCATCAATGTTAAATAGCATCATATATACATATTAAATTTAAATTTTTAAATCCGCCATTTTGTTTTTTATATGTGTTTTATCAAATGGGAATAATGAAGTTGTAATAATAATAATAATGATAATTAATGGAGATTTTGTTATGGTAATTAATTAACGTTTCGTCGTTGTCACTATACCCGTCCGCGTTGACGATAATAATGATGATAAGTTGACGTCAATCAATTAAATTAAAAAAATAATAATGATAATAATAATAATAATAATAATAATAATAATAATAATAATAATTTTTTTCCGAAACTCGAAAAATTGTAATAAAATATAAACTCTCAACGATTTTAGGCACGTCATAAAAATAAAAATAAAAAAAAATAAAAGGAAAAAAATTTTTTTTTGTTTACGTCTCGATTTTCAAAATACGTGAGAGAAAGAGAGAGAGGAAATTTTTTCCATTTTTCATTTTTATCCTTCTCCCCCCCCCAAAAAAAAAAAACCGTTAAAGACAAAACGTGAAACCGAAAAAAAAAAAAAAAAAGTTGTTTTTTCATCACGTTTTAATTTTTATTCTACTTTCTTTTTTTTTTTTTGTTAATTCGATACAGAGTCGCAAATTATTATTATTATTATTATTTTACACTTCAGAAGTACGAGAAATAATAATGATAATAATAATAATAATAATAATAATAATAATAATAATAATAATAATAATAATAATAATAATAATAATAATAATAATTAACGATGAAAAAAATTAAATCGGATTTTTTTTTTTCGTTTGTTTGTTTGTTTCAATCGTAAATTACATAACAACCAAACGTTAATTATTATTATTATTACTATTACTATTATTATAATTATTATTATTATTATTACCATTATTATTATTACTATTGTTATTATTATTATTATTTATTCTCTTTTCCGAATCGCATAAAAAAAAAAATAATAATAATCGAAAACATACGAAATTTTATGCAAATCGTGAATATTTTCTTTTTTTTTGGGCGGGGAGTGGAAACATTTTCCGCAATTCACGAAAAAAACCTAAAAAATAAAAAGAGAGAGAGAGAGAGAGAGAGAAAGAGAAAGAGAGAGAAAATTTAAAAAAATTCTCTTAAAAAACAAAAAGAAAAAAAATTTTTTTTTTTTTTGGGGGGGGGCGGGAAAATAAAGGAGGAGGAGGGTGAATAGCGGTGAAAAGGGCACGCACACACAAACAGAAAAAAAATCTTTTAATCTTTTTTTTTTCTGCCTTTTCTTTTATCTTCTTCTTTTTTTTGTTGGTAAAATTTTTTTTCTTCCCTTTTTTCCCTTCTTCATAATAATAATAATAATAATGATAATAATAATAATAATAATGCTAACCTTAATCAAATTTCAAAATCTAATTACTCTCCGTATTAAATATACATAAAAGTTAAACGAACCGTCGTTCTTCTGCTCTTGGAAAACGTTAAATAAATAAAAGAAAAGAAAAGCAAAAAAAAAAAAAAAAACAAATAATAATAATAATAATAATAATAATAATAATAATAATAATAATAATAATAATAATAATAATAAATGAAAAATTTAATTATAGATTTCAACTCTTTTTAATTAAAAAAAAAATTTTTTTCCTCCCCAAAAATTTTCATTTTAAATTGTTTACAAGATAAAAACTTTCCCGCGTAAAAACGCAAGGATGGGATGAGGGTGGGGGGGGGGGCGAGAGGCGAGATTTAAAATTAAAAAAAAAAAAAATTATTATCATTATTATTATTAATATTTTTTTTTTATTTTACTTTTCCGTGCATCGTCGTAAATATAAAAATTGAAAATTAAAAAAGATTAAGACTGGAGAAGGGAAAAAAAAAAAAAATGTTTTTTTTTTTTTTTTTCCAGGGTGTCGTAAAATTAACTGATAAGTACTTTAACGTAGGGTAATAAAAAAAAAAAAAAATTTCATTCCAGAAAATTCCAGAAAGAAAGGTAAAAAAAAAAATTTTACGAATTAACCGAATAAAAAAAAAAAAAACGATCGATTTTAAATTTTTCTTTCTCTCTCTCTCTCTCTCTCTCTCTCTTTTGTTAATAATTTATTTGTTTTTTAAAAAATTTATTGTTTCCTTTTTCTATTTCCCCTTCCCCCTCCCTCCCCTTCCTGTTGTTTTTTTCGGGGGGAGGTTATTCAGGTAAAAACGAAATGAAAAAAAAAAAAAAAATTACATTTAAATTTTTCAAATTTACAAACCGTAAAATTAATCCTCCCTCGGTATTCCTTATTATAATTACTACTACTACTATTATTATTATCATTACCACATTTTGCAATTATTATTATTATTATTATTATTATTAAAAACCGCGACAAACGTTAACAAAAAATAAAACGAAAACTTTTCCTTTTTGATGAACACACACACACACACTTACACGATGAGTATCGATTACGCGAATTCGAATTAAATTCGCGGCGTCCGCCATTTTGAAATTATTAATTCATACTCGTGTAAATTAATTGATTTCAATTGGTTTCTAATAAATTAATTTAATATGAATCGATCGCGATTAAGTTCGATTACCTTTTTTAAAACGAATGTAATCACGTCGGATTCCATTAACCGAAATCAAATTCGATTAATAAAATAAATATATATATATATATTTTTTTTTATTAGCCACTTATTAACGGACGAAATTTCGCCGCCATATTTATTTATCCCGCTCCCGACCGTTTTTTTCATTCATTTCGAATTGATGATGATGATTGATCGAAATGATTTTTTTTTTTTTTTTTTAAATTTCGAACGGTAAAAATTTTCAAAAAAAAAAAAAAAACATCAACCGTTTAATAATTTATCACGGATGACCGTTGGTTTTTTTCGCACACCCCCTCCCCTCTCCGCACCCTCCACCCACGGCAATAAGAATTTTCTAGAAAGAATGTTAAAAGTATCGAAGCGGTTATAAAATAAATTGAAAATAATAATAATGATAATGATAATAAAACGTTGAATTCGTAAAAACGCATACGAGACGAATAATAACGTTTAATAATAATAATAATAATAATAATTTGATTCGATTCGTTTCATTCTATTCGATTTCAAAATTTAAAAAAAATAACGAACTTTTTTTTTTTTTTTTTAACGTTATAAGCTTTCGTCAACGGTTTTTATTATAAATATTCCCCCCTCCCCTTTTACTTTTTTTTATCTCTTCGCTCCTCCCCCTTTCCCTTCCCCTTCCCTCCTCCCACCCCTTCACCACCTACTTCGAACTCCGCGTTTCGATTCTGCCACGACGTTATTGACACGTCATAATTAATTTACATAACGATAATAAAACAAATGTAACTTATTTGTGTGTTATTAATTAATTAATTAATTATTCGAGGGGCGGAGGGAAAACCGTTCGGCGATTATTTTATTAATTTTTTGTTTGTTTGTTCGTTTGTTTGTTTGTTTGTCGATGTAAAACGTTTCGAGATTATTTAAAAATAATTTTTTTTTTTTATGGTTTTAATAAATAAATAAAAAAATTTTTTTTTCTTTGTGTGTTGACGGTTTAAAAATATTCTTATTAACGTTTTGCCAAGATTTTTTTTTCTTTTTTTTTTTTTTGTTAAATATTATTTTATCTTTGTGAACTTTTTTTGTCTTTTTGTCTTATTCCTAAAAGTTTCTTTTTCCCGGGTATCCCCTTATGCCCCCCCCATTATTCTCCAGTAATTTTTTTCCAATTTATACAAAGGTTCCTTCTTTTTTTTTTTTGGGCAATTAAACATACTCATTCAGTATACATATTTATACTTGTATACATATTTTCGTAAATCTCATCGAAATAATAATAATAATAATAATAATAATAATAATAATAATAATAATAATAATAATAATAATAATAATAATAATAATGATGATGATGATGATGATGATGAAATTTAATTTAATTTCTATTATGAAACGATGATAAACGAAAAACAAAAAGAATAAGATGGAAATATTCGTGACGCCATTTTTTAATAACTAACGAAATCGTGACTATCCGACACGTAAATTTAAAATAAAAAAAAAAAAGGAAAACGTTTTTCTTTTTCAAAAAATTTGATTTACCGGTTTTTTTAAAAATGGAAAACGATTTATATTTTTAAACACATCGAAATATAATATGAAATTATTGAAAAATATACGTTTAATATCGAACATAGCGAATGAATGATGATTGGGGGGGGGGGGAAAACCCGGTAAAAATTTGAAATCATAGAGTAATTCAATTGTGTTTCGTTTTTTTCTTTCCCACCAACCCCCAACCCTCCTCCCGCGCAATCCAATAATGATTTCGACATAAAATAAAATATCAATTAATTAGGTATACGTGCATAATTTGAATAAAAAACAAAAAAAATTTAAATTAAAAATCGTAAAAATAAATGATAAAATTGTAATTACATAACAAACCTGGGTCAAAGTTTCCCGTTTTTATACCTGGACATATTCTCCATTCTCCATATAATTTCCATTTTGTAAATTTTTTCCTTTTTTTTTTTTTTTTTTATAACATTTTCCTCCCGCACATCATAATCGATGATTAAATGTGATTTTTATTTATTAACATTATTATTTAACAATAAAACTTTATATAATTTTTTTAATATGGCACCAAAATTTTTGAATAAAAATTCACTAATTTCTTTTGTATTAAAACAGGATTTTTTTTTTTTTTTCTACGTTAAAAAAACGATTGTGTAAAAAAACTATAACGAATGAGATATTTCTTTTTATTTTTTTAAATATAATTTATCGAAATAATCGTTTAATGAAACATTTTTTAAATAATACATAAAAAAAAAAGGATATGTTAAATGAAAATATAATTAATTAATTTAAAATTAATGATTCTCTTAACGGTTAAATAAAAGCGAACTCTGGCGAACACTATGCGGATCATCCTAACATCGACCCCGACAGACCCGAACTAAACAAAAATTGAGAGTGTACGTTCAGAAAAGCCCGCGTTTTGACAAAGGCCCCCTCGGGGCCCTCAAATTTTAATAGAGTGCGCTTTTTTTCTCGTTACTCATATTAATGGAAGTTTTTTTTTCCGTTATAAAACGTATGTCAGTGTTTAGTTTTTTTAATTATTTCTTATTAAATTTTGTTAATGTTTTACTTTTTTATCAAAAAAGAAAAAGTTTAAAGTGTATATAAAAACAATTTCACAACATTTTAAGGTAAGAGATATTATTAAAATAGATATTAGTGTAAAAAGTATTCTCTAAACCGAAACCAAGATTGTAACAATTCAAATTTCTCTTTCTTTCTTTCTTTTCTAACAAATTAAACAAAAAATAGTGTATTAAAGTATAATTCAAAGAGAGAAAAGAAAAAGGAAAGCAAAACGATTTATAATTTGCAATAAAAAAAAAGCTTTCCTTTTTTTTTTTTTACACCAATGAAAAAAGCTTCTTTAAAGGTTCAATATTCATATAATGCTCTTACTTAATTTTTATTTTTTAATTATTTATTACATAATTATGAAAAACCGATACTCTCACACTTTTTTGAGGGGGGGGGGGGGGGGAAACTTGAAAAAAAAATTAAAAACTTTTTCTTTTTTTTATGAGTCTTGGTTTAATCCTTTACCATGTTACAACTTGAACAATATATATTCAAATACTAAACTTTTCAAACTTCAAAAAAATTCCATTTCACAATTTTTTTTTTTTTTTTTTTTCACTTTTTTTTTTTAGTTTTTTTTTTTTTTTTAAATTTTGCCCCCGATATAGCTCCTGTTTTTTCTTTTTTTTTTTTTTCCCAATTTAAAACGGCATTTTTAATAACTATTCTTCAAAAAAAAAAAAAAAACAAAAAGGATCTCTCTCTCTCTCTCTTCTTCCTTCTCTTTATGGTTGTTTGCGAGCTTTTTCTTTTTTTTTTTTTTGCCTTTCATTTTGGTCTCCAATGCTTATTATTATTATAATTATTATTATTTTCACCGATTATTAATTGAGTGAGGAATTCCGTCTGGAATATCTCCTGAAACAAAAACAAAAAGGAAATGATTTGTCTTTAATGTCATTTATTTATTTTTCTTCTATGGTAACTTCCGGAATTATTGTTAAAATGTCTTACATTTTTGACAAAGTTATTTATAAATTGTGATTAACGTAATCTCTGTCGCCAACGTTGATTCTATCCGGTGCAGCTGTCACGCTGAAACCGAGAATTCTATTATCGACTTTTAACATTTTTCCCTTTTTGCTTTTCTTTCCTGTACGAGAAACAAAGACAAACAAACAATCATTATTCGAATGGAAAACTCTTTCTCTCTCTCTCTCTCTCTCTCTCCCCCCCTCTTTCACAAACGAACCTTTGCTTTTAACCTCTTGAAATTCTTGACCGGAGTTGTTAACTTGACATTGGGAACCCGTATTGAGACCTTGAAATTTACCATTACGATTTTCATCTCCTCCGTTTCCCCCTCTTTTCGACGACATCCATCGGGATCTCCGTTCTAAAAATTGTTTTGCAAATTCTTGAGCTTCTTTTCCCTCGCCAACGTAGCATTTCACGTAATCCGTAACTTCGTAAGGAGATTCGATGTCGCGAAGAAAACTTACAAATGTCGGAACTGCAACACGGCACGTTTTAGTAAAAAAAAAAAATTAAAATTTTCTAGATTGTTCCTAATTGAATTTCATAGACTCACTATCGATATCGGATTGAATGGATTGCAATGATGCCGAACACCACGTTGTAAATTCATCGTCGACTCTTTCAAACAACTTCATGACGGCAGCTTCCTCTTTTTTATTAGATGATTTCGGTTTCGAACCTTTTTGCGCGTTTCCAGAATTGTTTCCGCCGCCGCCGCCGCCGCCGGTTTTCTGAGAGGAAGCCTATGGGGTGCGTGACAAGAGGAGAGAATAGAAAAAGTGTGAAACGAAGACGAAAATAATTTTAATTTGAAAAAAATCTTACCGGTTGAGTTTTTTGCTTTTGAGGAGATGATGGAACTTTCGTCTTATTTTTCGAATTGTTGGGAGCAACTTCTTCCCAAAATCCGGATGCGGCGTTGTTATTTTGACTATTGGTAACACCTACCCAAGGAGCGGGACTGCTTGTCCAATTCAACGATTGCGAGGCACTCCCCCAAATGCTCGTGTTCGCAGTTAAAGCTGCTTCTTTTTGTTGTTGGGCTCTTTCTAACCGTTCTTTTTCTAATTGCTGATACAAGAAGAACAAAAAAAAAATTTTCTCTCTCTCTCTCTCTCTCTTTCTCGAAACTTCTCCGACAGTTTTTTTTTTTTTTTTTGCTAAATTGAATGATTAATGATTATTAAAAAAACAAACAAACAAACAAACAAACCTTTGCCAATTGCAATTGTTCTTCAGCTTGTATTTCTGCCAAACTTTTCACACTCGGATTAACTTTTGGCATTTGCTCGGCCCATTTCAAATTTAAACTGTTCCCTTGATTCTCGGCCTCTTTTTGCATTTGCTGTTGCATTTCCTTTTCTTGAGCTTTTTGTATAGCGATTTGTTGCTCGCGAAGCATTTGCTTTTCATTTAAAAAAAAAAAAAAAAAATAATTAAATAAATAATAATAATAAAAAAAAGAAGCAGAAGATAAGATTATTTAAAATTTAAAACTTCATTAATCACTTCTGTCGTGTCGTACCTGTTTTTTTTCTTTTTCTTGCATTTTTTGAATGTCTGAAAGGCTAGTGCTAGGATTTGTTACAGCGGGCTGACACCAGGGCAAAGGCTTTTTAAAAGATTCAATTTGCTGTTGATCTTGCTGTACCTTTTTATGAGTTTCCGTTTGTTTTTTAACTTGCTCTTGCTTCTTGGCAGTTTCTTCTTCCTCATGTTGCTGTTGCTGTTGTTGCTGCTGCTTTTTTTTCAAACGTTGTTGCTCTTCCTCTTTCCTATACAAAATGTATTTTACATTAAGGATAATGGAATAAATGAACAGATCCTTTACGCGTAACATTTTATCTTTTATTACTTTTTCTTTTCAGTTTCCTGCGCTTTTTTCTTTCCCTCTTCAAGCAGTCGTTTCTTTTCTCTCTCCTCTTCCTTTTTCCGTTCTTTTTCTTCCTTTTTCTTTTGTGCTTCTTGCATTTTTTTCTGCGCTTCTTGTAATTTTTTAGCAGCTTCTTGTTTTTTCTTCAGTGCCGCTTCTTCTTGTTGCTGTTTTCGTTTCAACTCTTCCGCCTTTTTTTTCTCCTCTTTTTCTTTTTCCTTTTCTTTTTGAATCTATCAATGCAATGAAAATACATTGAAAATAAAAAAAAAAAAATCCTTCGAATTAAAAAAAAAAAAAAAAAAAAAGTGAAAATTTACTCTAATTTTTTCTTCCTCTAATTTCTTCTTTTCCAATTTTTTCATTTCTTCTTTTTTCTCCTCTTCCTTTCGTTTTTTCTCTTCTAATTCCTTTTGTTTTCTAACAGCTTCTTCCTCTTCTTCTTTACGCTTCCGTAACTCTTCTTGCCTTCTCTCTTCTTCTAAGCGTAAATGTTGTTCGGCAAGAATTTGTTGCTCAGTTTTCATTTCCCACATGGGTAACCCTCCAGCGTTGGCGGGTTGATTGGTTTGCGGCCAATGTTGCGCTCGACCTACAAATTGATAAAAAATTAATTTTACAAAAAACTCATCTTACAGGTGTGAACACACTCGAGGACGCAACATCATTACCGGGAGCACCCCATAGGGAGTCGGAAGGAGCAGGAGCCGGGGAATTAGCCACGTTTAATTTCCCCAACTGCCTGAATATCTTTTGAATTGGATCTTCCGTTTCTGATTCTTCAGCACAAACGTATGGAGCGGCGGGATTCATTCCCTTATTTGCGAGAACAGGATTCTAAATTAAGAAATCAATCGATCATTGTGGTAAGTCTATTATTATTTAATTTTTCTTCGGAGGAGGGATTTATGATTTTTGACTTGGAAATTGTACGATATTTACCATATGCGGTTGAGCATTTATATTATGGTTTAATACCATTCCCATGGGATTCATGGGATTCACGACGGGCGGTTGTTGAGGTGCTTGCATAACGTTCATGTTCTGTATGAGTTGCCGCAAAGGATCGATATTTTTATTATCTCTTACTTCCGGCATTGGCATTTTATTCTAAAAATAAATTTTTAAGTTGTTAAACGGGGATTCCCCTCAAAGTGAGAAATGCAAAAATTCCGATTGCAATACCTGTTGCATTTGATTTAACAATTGTGAAAATGAATTTTTTTCCATTTGAGCTAATTGGTCCATCGAAAGAGACGATTGTTGAGCCATAGCTAATTTCTGCATTAAAAGATTTCTCTGTTGAACTGAATTTAAAGCGTTCCAAACTTCCGACTGTGATAACTTGTTGAGGGCTAATTGCTGACTGTAAAATTAAAAAGTAAAATGACGTGGAAATCAAAAACGATTGATTAATTATTGGAAAACACCCCGTGAACTCAAGTTTTTTTTTTTTTTTTTTTTTTTCCCTCATTTCTTTTAAAAATCATTCATTATTTTTATTTCTGGAGATTGAAAGGAATTCGATCGGTACCAACCATTAAAAGTAACTGATCAATACATAATTCAATAAGGCACAATTATTTCTGGTCCAGGAAATTTCAAAGGGACTCTTGAAAATGTATGTTTTACTGATGAGAGAGCTCGGCCCTAAAAACTAGAATTTCTGTAGATTCAAATAACTTTTCCCAGGTTCCTATAAAACATTGTAACTTGAAACCTGAAATGGGAAAAGTGGTTCTTCGAAATTGTCAACGGTTGTGAAATGATTATTTTATAGAAACGATTTTATTTCCATTTATTTTGAGGGGGGGGGGGGTGGGTGGTGGTGAGGTGAAAGAATGGAACGAAATAAGGGCAAAAAAAAATTATTAAAAAGATTTAATTCGATAGGTAAAGTGCAAAATCATCGTACCTGAGTAAAAATTGCTCGTGCCAAAGTTGATATTGATGATATTTTTCTTTGAAAACATCCGGCCTAGAGAGTACTGCTACAGGTGCTTTGATCACAGGTATATTGACTCCGGGAAGAAATGGAATCGTACCATATCTAACCATTAAATCACCGAGTTTAACATAAACTTCATCTTGTTCTCGGCGTACCAAAAGCGAAAGTTGAAAATACCCATTCATAAACCATCCCAGCATTTCACTCGGTTTAAACGGACCTGAAAATTTTCAACAACAACAATAATAATAATAATAATTATTATTATTATTATTATTTACTTTTCGACTTTTTCGTAAAGGTACTTTTCTTTTTTTTTAATTATCTAACTTGCCTTGAACGTTTCCTTGTGGATCTCTATAATACCATTTAGTGTTTTCTACGTTGACTGGAAATTTTTCTTCATCTTCGAATAGTTTAACTACCGTGTCTTTAACAACTTCGGCCATTCCTTCCATGTCTTCTTCCGAACCTTGTCGGTTAACCGCCGAAACATCTTTTCCCGCTCCACCTCCTAGACGCGAGCCTGAAACGTACAATCATTCATTATCGTTTGTTCTCTCTTAAATAATTAGTAAACAAACATTTCTAAACGGGTAAAAGATTTAAAAAATAGGGAAAAACGGGAAAACGAATAATATTTTAATGGGGGATGAATGAATGGGCGAAATCGATCCTCCCTTTTTCCCTCCTCCCCTCCCCTCCCCTCCCTCCCCTTGTTTTTTGTTTGATGAGTCAATAAGTGACAAAGCGTGTTGTTTATACCTGCATCAATCGATAAATTATTTATATTATCATTGACATTGAAATCTGTAGTTTTCTCTTTGACATCGGGTCCTCCAGAATTTAAATGTACACTTTTTTCACTTTTAACAAGAGTTTCTTTCATCACTCCGCCGCCATTGGGTTCCAGTACTACTTTATCATCTTTTTTACGCGAATTTTTAACGTCACCACTTTCACTCGGCTCTTTGTTTGTATCTAATTTATCGACAAAGTTTTGATGTTGTACTCGTATTATTCTGTCAAAATTCTGCGCTTCCGTCCTTTTCGATGATATCGTTATGCTATTTTCCGACGAATCTGATTTTAAATTTGAACTGCTCTGACTTTTCGATATTGAATGCAATGACGACGATGACGACGGCTTAGGGGATTCCGTTAGATTTCCCTGAGCCGTTTGACTACGTAAAAGTTTACGATCTTTCACTAAACCGACGTTCGGGTCGTCACCACAATCTTCGTTCTTTTTCGAACGAGGAGGAGATTTCGTTTTGTGTTGAACATTTCCATCGTCTGATAAACGGTGCCTTATACTTCTCGAACCAAAATTTTCCTGTAAAAAACCATTCGAAATCATTAAAAAAAAAAAAAGATTTAAAAAAAAAACCGAGCGTGTAATAATAAAATGCATATTTCCCGTTTGAAATAGTCTGATGAAACTCGTTTATCAGGTTTTTTTTAAATATCTGATTACAAAAGATTTGATGTTATATACGTCAATGCATTTCTTTTTTTTTTGTTTTCTTTTTGCTTTTGGAGAAAGTAATTTTGTGAAATTTTTTTGGTACCTCTTCTTCGTCGGAATAGTTTCCACCGTGAAAGGCTCCACTCGCATCGAAACTTCCACCGCTTTCGCTAGGATTTTCCATGGCCCACTCGGGAACTTCATCAACGAAATTGCTTCTTTTGCTAGAAAGAGAGTCTTCATCGTGACTGCGACCGCGTAAACCTTCATCAGCCCAACCTCTTCCCCAACTCGATGTTCTACTTGCCGATTTTGATAAACTTCCACCCTCGCCAGAATCAGATTCGTCTCTCCAACTGTTTGATCTTCCCCATTTATCCGATTTTCTCCAACCTAAAATCCCATACCCACCCCAAAAAAAAATTGATGAAAATTTTTATATATATATATATTAAATTATGATATGAGTTTTGTATTTGCCTTCTTCGTCGTCTATCCCGCGGTGTCGCCGCCAATTTTCGTTACTATTTCTACCGCTTCCGGTAAAATCTTTCATTGATACAAATTCTTTTCTAGGAGATGTCGAACCGTTCCAATCTCCCGGGTCTCCTCCATTACGCTCCCCCCAACTTCTTTCCGAGCCCTGAAAAAAAAAAAAAAAATATATAGATATACTTTATCTTATATGCAATCAAAAACAAACACACTTAATTATTAACAATTTATAATTTTCTAATGATAATAGTTATCTCAATCTTGAGATATTTTTTTTTTTTTAAAACAAGTTTTAAGTTTTGTTGATTAGTGAATTGGCTAAAAAAAAAAAAAAGGGAAATCGTATCGCGATCATACGTACTTGGGATCTGTCGTAACTACGTAAACTTCTGGAGAAAGGCCGTTCCGGTGGACCATCTTTAACGTTGTCTGACTGTTCTTCACAACTGAGTCCCCTACTATAATGAAATCCCCCAGATCCTCTGAGTCTTCCTCTTCCCCTATCAATTAATCCTCCTCTACCTCTGAGAACACCTCCAGGAGGGCCAGCCAGAGTTTTACCATTCAAACGAAGTACAACATCACTGTTAATACCTTTGTGCCATTGTCTCTGAAAGGGAACGAAAAGAAAAATTTTTAATTGGAAAATTTCTTATTCTATACCTATTGAAAATGAGTAAAAAAAAAATTAAACTCACAGTTTCCTCTTCAGTCATAGTAAGTAAGGCCATGGGTGTTTGTGTCTTTTCTACATAAAGACCTTGAAGTTTAACAAGAGGATCTGGGGCTCTGACATTACGATCGAATAAAGCTAACATTTCTTCTCGTCCATAACGATGTTCAGCCAGTTGATATTTTGGTGCCCCTCCAGTATTTCCTTCGGAGGATAAATTTCTAAGCCATTCAGGTCCAAATTTCAATGAGTCTGTCATTTTTGAAAATCTGAAAGGGAAAACAAATCAATATTTTTCTTTTTCCGGGTTCAACATAAATCACAATCGCTTAATCGAACATAAACAAAATGTTGTTTATGTTTTACATAAACAATCTCACAATATTAAACAACCCTTAACAATTAAATTAATTTAATTAAACTTAAATTTTTCACATGTAAATTATTATATAAAATGAAATTGACTCACACTTACTAACTACTACTACTACTATTTTTTCAAACAAGAACAAACAAAGAGAGAGATAGATAGATAGATAGATAGAAATTAAATTAATTTATATCTACGTGTAAACGTAATTTTTATAAAAAAAAATAAAAAAATGTAAAAGTTAAATGCATATGGGAGAAAACAAGTCTGATAACACCATTTATACCACGTTGACTAAATAGGCTTACGATAGTTGTTGTACACACACGATGAAGAATCCAAAAAAAAAAAAAAAAAAAAGAAATTAGAAATTTAAAAAAAAATATAATATATATATATATAAATATATTTAGATACGTTACTCCACACCCAGGACTTTAAAAAAAAAAAAAAAAGGGATTTTATAATTAAATAAAAAATTTCATTTAATTACCCTTTAAATAATAATAATAATAATAATATTTTTATTCCCAATATTAATTAAATTGAATATTACAAATGTGAAATACAAATCGAATAATACAAATATTTCAAATATATATAGTGTCCTAGATGGCATCCATTAAACTTGGTTTTATAATTATTATTATTTTCGAATCATGCAATTTAACATATATATAAAAAAAAAAAAAAAAAAAAAAAATTACGTTTACAACTTACGAAAAATAAAAATTTAATTTTTTTTTTCTTTCTCTCTCTCTCTCTTTTTTTTATTCGTTTCGTATGTATAATAATAATAAAAAACGGTTAAAATTTTTCGAGAAAAAAATAATAATAATAATAATTGTTTTTTTGTGTCGTGTACCTGATTTATAAGAAGAACAATTCAACAAAACATAAATCCATTCACCAATATGGACGATTTTTTCCGTATGTATATCTCTACGCATGTGTGAAAATGTCGAAAATGTAAATATCTTCCATTGAATCGTTACAAAGGAAACAAAAAAAAAAAAAAAAAATTATTTTCCTTTTACGTATATTGCGTACGAGTATTATTACTACATTACGCCGATTTATACGTTTTTATTTTAATTATGTTTTATTGTTCGTTTTTTTTGCTTTTTCCTTTTTCTCTCTCTCTCTCTCTCTTTTTAATTTAATTACCTTTTTTTAACCGCCATTTCGTTCCCTTTTCGCTTAAAATTCAAAATGGCTTCGGTTCTTTCAGAAATTAATTATTTAATTACTTGAGTTGTTTTATTTAATAATTATTTAACGATTTATTTAGGTGTTAAACATGTAAGGTAAAAATTAATTAAAATAATTTTTTTATTTGAAAAAATAATAATAATAATAATAGTAATAAAAAACAGGTACTTATAAGCTTAATATTAACATTATATGTATATGTGTGAAATATTTTAATCAAAGTTTTGATATTTCATCTCCGACAATGTAAGGATTATCAATACCTTCTGGAGGATGTTTAGATGTTTTCTTTTTTCCAGCATACAATAAATTAATTTTTCCAGCAAAATGATCTTCAATTTCGTGTAACGTCCAACCCTCCGTTTCCGGGAGTAAAAAGTAAAAAATAACGGTGGCAATCAAACCGCACACACTGTAAAGCCAATAAACTCCAGGAAAAGTTAATAAATTAATTAATGAGAAAAATGTTTTGTTTGATGCGAAACCCAATATGTATCCTACAGATGCACTTGCTCCACTTGCAAATCCTCTTACTTCTGGAGGATACACTTCACCAATCAATATCCAAGGGAGTAATCGAAGAGCTGTGAAAGCGAAAAATGAACCACCTATTAAACTACACATGGGAACCCAAGAATACCCATCTAAATCAGGATGTTCTTTTATGTATGCTCCATTATCGAGTTTTACGACTCCTAGGAAAAAGTGAGCGTAAAATCCCACGCAGGAAAATACAACAGCAGCTCCTGCTGTCGAAAGGAAAACCAAGGGTCTTTTACCAGTGTAATGTATCATTATGACACAAAATAATGTTCCTAATATTTGTGCAACTCCTAATATCAAAGTGGCTAAATATTTATCAATTGGAGCACCCAAAGTTCCAAAAATATTAACGGCATATGTGGTCGTCGTAGTCAAACCTGAAAAATGTCCAGTCAAAAAAGCAAGACAAACGAGAAAAAATGGAATAAGAAAAGTTCTCTTCTTGTAATTATCCACATTCGGTACACAATTGTTGTTTGTTTTAAATGATATTTCATCTTCCATTTTATTTCCTTTATCAGATTCGGTTTTTCCAATGACGCTAACAACAGTTACAGGTTCATTTTTTTGCAAATCTGGTCGTATGCTTTTAACTAAACTTTTAAATTCAGTTTGAACTTTATGTGGTTCGACCCAACCTCTAAGCCAACCTAAAGCTTCTTGAGCTTCCTTTAATTTTCCTCTACCTAAAAAAAAAAATGAAAACATTTATTAGATTTGAATGATTATTTCATAACAAAAACTTTATTCATATGTAATTTCAAGGTTAATTTTATTTAAATTGTAAAGAAGAATCATTTAATTTAATAATTTGCCCAATGTACAATTTTACAATAAGATATCCTGTTTTATTATTGCGAAAAAAAAAAAATTTTTTTTTATTACTTATTAGCCAATGTGGACTCTCTGGTATGAAACACAAAGCTATGAATGCTATTATGGGTGCTGATGTATTTACAGCACTCAAAGTTCTCCAGTCCCAAAAATTACCCATGAAAAATTGTGTAAAAGTTCCTAATATCACAGATAATGACGAAGATGCTGATAGTATACCTCTGACGTGTGGTTGTGTTATTTCTGCAACGTATGTTAAAATCTAGAAAAGAAACCGGAAGTATTAAAGTTTTTCTGGAAAATGTATTAATTCAATTAGAAATTAAATTACAGGAGCTTCTAAAAGTCCACCAGTTAATCCAGTCAATGCTAAACTGGCATAAAGTACGGCTGTTGAATTTGCAAAATATAACATAATCCATGTTATTAAAAATGGTATTGTTAAAACTTGCATGGAACGTTTTCTTCCAAATGGTTGTGTTACTATTCCGGATATTATACATCCCAAAGGAACCGTTATTAAATTTATGCTACCTGGAAGAAAAAAATAAAAGGAAATACTTTTAATACTACAATGAAGAAAAGAAAATTGTGTTAAATGATATAACATGAAAGAAACGCCATAGGTTAAATTTAGTTTGTATGTGTGTTGTAAAAACTCGCCTGGCAACATTTTTATACGTTGATGCATTAATAAACCGATATAAAAATTTAACCTCCAATTTAAAAAAATGGCGAATTTTTTTTAAAGAAAAAAATGTTTACCGGGAAAAATGTTATGAAAATTGATATTTAAGAATTTGAAAAACAAATCGACTGTGACGACACAGGAAGTTTTTAAATTGTAATTTAATTAATTACAAACGTTTGTTAAATAATTGAGGAAAACAAACAATCGAAATGTTTTACAAAGTCACTATGAGTTTACAACGTTGAGGATTTTTTGATTTTTCTTCTTACCAAACCAAGAAATTTCTTCGTCAGTAAGCGATAATGATGATGATGATGATGATGTTGTTTCATTTTGAGAAGAATTTTGAAGGCTTGGTATAACTATGGTTGGAAAACCGAGAGTCATCCCGTATCCAAGCAAAATAAGATTTTTTGCCATAGTCGCCAAAACTTGAGGCATTGTCGATTTCCATTTAGGTGTTGGTGATGTGTCCACCATTTCAGGTTTATTAACAACCGGTTCATTCCTAACGACAAACAAAAACACATTAGGTTTACTTAGCAAACACACTGCAAAAAATTTTCATATTTGTTTTATTATTATTATTATTAATAAAACGATCGTCGACGCCATTTTGATTTTTTTACCATCAGTAAAACATTACGCGTTTTTTTATGTACTAAGCTAAAAAAAAAAAACTAGGTCTTGTTATAATAATAATAATAATAATTTAAAAGGTTTTACGTAATAGAAAAAATGCAAAGAATTAATAGTTGTGGGGGAGGGGGTGGGAAATGTATGGTTTTTCGTTTGTTGTTGTTGTTTATTTAAGAGAATTTGCAAAAAAAATTACATAAAATGTTACAAAATTTTAAAAACAAACCACACCCGAATGAATCAGAATAATAATAATAGTCTAACTAAATGAGATGTTTGTAACGGTTAAATAATTTTTTTTACAATCCAATTCGATATATCGATCGATTTAAATTTTAAATAAATGTAAATTTATTTACGTTATGAAAAAAAAAAAACGTTCGTTTTCCCTTAAAGCACGAAAGTTATGAATGAAACGAATGTTTTTTTAATGAGACTTAATAAAACCTTCTTCTGAAAATAAATATGGCGGATAATAAAAAAAAATTAATTAAATAATTCAAAGTTTTTTATTATCAATCAATAATAAAATGTTTAATCTGCGATTAATAAATGTCTTATTTATTTTTTTATTTTTTATTTTTTTAGAAAAAGAGAGAGAGAGAGAAGGGGACAGATGAAAAATGAAAAAGAAAGAGAGAGAGAGACATATTTATGGCGAAAAGGTAAGTGATTGAATTTTTTTATTAATCACAATATGAGGTCAAGGTTTGCGAATTTTTTTTTTTTTTTGCGCGCAAATTTTTATTTATAAAAATTCGAGTAAAAGTAAAGTAAATATCGATCAGGGATTTAAATACCTTACAAATAATAATAATAATAATAATAATAATAATAATAATAATAATGATTTTATGAGTATCGATCAGCTGTTCAAATCAGGTGTCAAACGAGAAAGTGTCAATGAGACTTTGAAAATTATAAAAAATCACTTTCGTTTTCATCGGGTTTTATTTTTGTCGAACGGTTATTAAAATTAATTAGTCGATTAGTCGTATGTAAAAATGGAATCGATCATCGATCGATATATCGATCTATCGATTAGGTATCGATAAAAACAAATAATCGAATCGTTAAAAAAAAAATTTTCTTTCTTTTGTTTTTAAATGAAAGTTTTTTAAAAAAAAAAAACCGGAAAAAAAATTAGAAAAAAATTGATTATTATTAATATTATTATTATTATTATTAATTATTATTATTATTAATATCGAATTTGAATTTAAACTTTCCATATTTAAACATAAAAAAAAAAAGGTCAAATTCTGATTGATTGGAAAGTTTTATTTGCATTTTGACTTTTTTTTTTTTTATAATGACAGCTATTTGAAAAATTGTGCAATTGTTTAATACGAACATAGAAAAAACAAATTCTTTATTTTATCATCATTATTATTATTATTGACACACATAAATCAATAAATAAATAAATAAATTTTCGTTAATTTGCGTTCGTTAACAAAAAAAATGGGGGGAAAACCGCGAGCGCGAAAACTGGCAAAAACATTTCGGATAAATAACGTGTTAAAACAAACAATAATTTTGCATTTAGGGTTAAGGAAAGTTCGCACACAAACAAACAAACAAACAAACACATTATGTTTTCATAACCGATGCATTATTTAAAAACGTAGAAAAAAACATTCGTTCTACTTTTTAATAAGTTTATCTACGTAACATACCCAAACATAAAAAAAAAAAAAACCCGCGTAAAATTTTTTAAATTTCAAAACGGAAATCAAATTTTTTATTTAATGTCAAAGATCGATTCAATAAAAATTTTAATTATTTATTTATTAACATCCGGTCGTAACACGAAATAATAATAATAATAATGATAAAAACATGGCGGGTATTTTAATTAATTATTCGAATGATTGTTTGTCTCTCGTATTAATTCTCTTATTCTTAAATAAATATTTAAAAAAAAAATATCGAAATAACGTCGTTGATAATAATAATAATAATAATAATAATAATAATTCGTTAAATTATTGACCTAAATTAAAATCCGATTATTATTATTATTATTATTATTATTATTAATATTTTTATTTGTCAAATAAATAATAAACGAAACGCAACGCGAAAAATGTTTTGTCGTTAAAAAAAAAAATTTTTTTAAATTTTATTTTTACAATATCAAACATAAATAATAATAATAATAATAATAATAATAATAATAATATAGATTAGTTTATTTATTTATTAATGTTGATAATAATAATAATAATAATAATTACGCGTATTTGATTTAAAATGAACGAACGCGGTGGAACGAGAATTTTTTATTAAAAAACTGGAAAAATGAACGATGTAATTTTATTTTGAAATTTTAGTTTACATAAATATTTTTTTTTTTCATAAGAGTTTTTGAAAATGCTTGGATTTATTATTATTATTATTATTATTATTATTATTATTATTATTATTATTATTATTATTATTACTTAGAGAACAGCAACTCGTCGTTTTCATATGTATTTCAACTACTTTCTCTCTATTGGTATTGCAATTTTTTATATCTTGTTCCACGACGATGACGCGACGTGTTCTTTTTTTTTTTTTTTTCCTTTTCTTTCTATTTTTTAATTAACGCGATGATGTTAAATTTTAAAAAGGAAAATTAAATATTTTCCCCAAAGGGATTCATTCGTCGTTTACGGGGGGGGGGAACAAGGGGGTTAAAAATGTGAAAATGTGGCAAGTCAAAATGACTTTGAAAACATAAAAATTTAAAACAAAAAATGTTTTTGTTAAATTTTTTTTTTAGGGCGAAAAATCTTCAAAAACGCGCCATTTTGTTTTTTGTCTAGTTTCACGTCGCTTTTAGCCGTTAAATTATTAAAAAAAAAATTTTTTTAATAATTTATTTTTTTGGGTTATTATATTCGTTTAAACGAGTGAAATAATAATTGGATTCGAATTTAGGGTTAATCAATTGGATATAAATTTTGTAAAGGGTACGAATGAAATTTAAAAGTTTGATTGGTGACCGCGTTGAGGCGCTGTAAAACCTATAAATACAGGTACCTCACCGAATTGTAATCATTTTCGTAAGGACGTTCGAGAACGAACGTTAAAAAAAAAAATCCAATAATAATTTTCTATATTGAATTGCTTAACGTAATTTGTTTTTTTTTTTGGTTGTTGGTTGTTTTGCAATCACATTTTTTACAAACTAACCAACTACGTTCGCGTATTGAAACGTTGATTAACATCTCTTCTTGTATTTTGTAACCTTAATTAACATGAATAATAATAATAATAATAATAATAATGATAATAACGTAGCGCGAGATGTTATTAAATATTATTTAATTCAAGAACGTCAGGTTGAAACATTGACCCTAGTCAACGTAGTAAGGCTTGCTTGCTTCCTAAATTTTGTTTTTTATTTATACGTATTTTTTTGTTATGAATGTTATTCGATATAAATCGATTTATTGTTTGTTCGATTCGATTATTTCGATAAATTTTCAAAAATGTTTTCGAAAAGGCGGGCGTTTTGAATTTTTTCCCTTTAAAAAAAAAATTACGCGAAAGTAAAAACTAAATTTTTTTTTCCATGGGTTTTTCTACTTTTAAGTGCATGGTAATAATAATAATAATAATAATGATGATGATGATGATGATGATGATGATGATGATGGAAAATGTAAAAAAATTCAATGTTAATTTTATGCGACGACGAAAACGATGAGAGACAATAATCTTGGCATAATTTAATATTGGCAAAAAAATTTTTTCTCCACATTGCCAAAAAAAAAAAAAAAAAAACACTCCATTAATTTTTTTCGATGATAAGTTATGTAATTTTTTTTTTTTTTTTCGTTTTTTTATTCATACCCCGCCATGTTTTAAATTTAAAAAATTCCAGGTACAAATTATTTGTAAATTGTTGCACGGTTTTATTCACAATAATCGTTGAACAAATTCGAATAATTTTTTTTTTTCGCATGAAATAATATTCGTGTACTAAACAACAACAACAACATGTCATAATAATAATAATAACGCAATAGTAATTATTTTTTGTAATTTAAAAAAAAAAAAAAAAAAAAGGCGATTCGCGATCGAGTTATCGAATACAATCGAATCGATTCGTATCGATTACAATTAAATAAAATGTGTGATGAAAACATTTTATACACAATATTCTCGTACTCGGAAGTACAAAAAAAAAAGAATTTAATTAAAATGTAATTAAAAGTCGAATTAGTCAAGCTTGAATGAAAAAAATGATATTTTTAAAAAGGTTAAAAGGTTAAATCTCAAAAAAAAAAAAAAAAAAAACTTTATCAGCATCTTTTGAACGACTCGATAATTGTGTTACATCAATAACTACTTTTATATATTTAATTTAACAACCCCATTGAATTGTTTATTATTATTATTATTTTATTGCGTATTTACGATCTTAGCCTTATCATCATCATCATCATTATTATTATTATTTTTTATTGACTCGACAATGCACATCCCTTAAAAGGTTACGTTAAGGCCAAATTTTTTTTTTATATATGAAAGAATTAAAAACGATTCTTCGAAACGCATTTTTTTTTAACTACCGGGACTATTCTCCTCCTCCCACCAATTCTCTTGAGGTCACAGCTATTAAATGAATTATTATTATTATTATTACTATTATTATCATTATTATTATTATTATTATTATTATTATTATTATCATTATCGGTATTTTAAATAAAAGATGATAAAGAAATAAAGAAAGAAAAAAAATTTTTTCTTTCTTTCTTTTGTTTTTGAAAAACGAAAACAATTTGTTTCGATGACGTTTATTTTTGTTTATTTCCCCCATTTTTGACGATATTCGATTATTA